CAGGAAGTTTTCTCAATTCAAAATGTCTGGATTAGCATTGAGTTCCAGGTTTTTATAGATTAGCCCAACAAAACCTTGTAATAGCTTAGAAAACATGCGCATTTAACTGGAAAATCAGCTCCACCCTTTAATAATTTTCTAAGCCACTACAAGGCTTTTATTGGTTACTCTAAAAAAAGCTTATATTTAAAAGAGAAAAATCACAGAATGATTGAAGGACCAATTTATACATTATTCACCCAGATTAGCTCCTATGTGTTGTTTAGAAAGTAAGAATAAAGAATAACAATGGACTCAAAATCGTAGAGATTGTTTTTAGGAATTTCTTTGAAACTGGATGTAGAAAAGAACACTGCTCAAAAGAATACAATGACCACTCAAATAAAGCCGGGCGTACACTGTGCGATTTTCCAGTCGTGCGAGAATCTTTCAATCGGGCCGACTTTCAGCCTGATCGTGAGTCGTGTAGTGTACAGGGGGTAACGAGGGGCGATCAGCCTCTCACAACCACCTCCTGATGACAAACACGTTTGATTTTCTCCCTACCGTCATAGGCAAATCGCTCAGGGCGCAAACAAGGATTCTTCTTTTTCTTCTTCCTCTCAGATGTAAACCCAGAAGCGTGGCAGGGATGCGATGAGTGAAATGGAGTTCTTTCTGTAAAATTGACAGACCGTAGTAGCCACATTAGCTCAGCAGTGTCTTTGTCCAAATACGTCTTCACCTTTTCTTTTTAGGGCTTTCAGCACAAATTGCACAAATTGCCAAGGCAGTTTCACTCTAGTGAGCTTCATATTCCTCTTCTATTTGTTTGGCTTCCTGATAGATGAGTCAATGCAGCTCCATCTCACTTGCCGAGCTGAGTCCGACGTTGTTTTTAGTCGTACAGTGTGAGCAGGTAGATCGCATCAGAGCGTCGTGCTGCACATTCATCGTGAGCTGTGAACTCAAACTGTACGACTAAACCCTGCGGTTTACTCGTACAGTGTAGCTGCCGTACAGTAGCTGCGTGCAGCAATTTAAAGAATCGCACTGTGTAAGCCCGGCTTAACACGTCCTAAATCTGAATGAATGTAATATTCTAATTTAATAATTTGTTCTCTACAATGTTGAATTTGCTGACAACAAATCACAGAAAAATAATCAATGGAAATCAATGCATTAACCAGTGGAGGCCTGGAAATTAAAGTGGAAAAATACACTACAGGTTGATCCAAATATGATGTAATGTCCTTAAAACAGATCAGAATTAGGCTCAGTATGTGTGTGACCTCCACCTGCCCCTATGACCTCCCTACAATGCCTGGGCTGGCCCTGGCGAGGTGGAGGAGCATTTCCTGAGGGATCTCCGCCCAGACCTGGAGTGAAGCATCCTCCTCGTCCTGGACAGTCTGTGGAGGATGGATGGAGACATGATGTCCCGGATGAGCTCAGTGGGATTCAGGTCAACGGTCTGGGGGAGGTGATAGCAGTGTCTCCAGACTCTGCTGTCATCTCTGTCACTGTGCGTAGTGTGAACCTGCTTTCATCTGTGAAGAGCAGAGAAGTGGAGAATTTGCCAATCCTGGTGTTTTCTGGTGAATGGCAAGCATATTGCGTGGTGTTGGACTGTGAGCACAACCCCCATCTGTGGACATCAGGCCCTCATACCATCCTCATGGAGTTGGTTTCTAACCGTTTGTGCAGACAAACGCACATTAGTGCCCTGCTGGAGGTCATTTTGCAGGGCAGTGCTCCTCCTGTTCCTCCTTGCACAAAGGCAAAGGTAGCAGACCTGCTGCTGGGTTGCTGCCCTCCTACAACCTTCAATTCTCCTGGTTTAGTGTCTCCTAGTTGCACCTTCATCCTCTGGTGCCATCTTGGCTGA